ATATGCTAACATTGCGCTGAATGAGAGTCTTATCTCCTCTAGAGAAAGAGCTGAAATTGTGGGAAAACAGACTATCAAGTGAGTGGCTGACCTGCAATGAAAGGTACATGCACAGCCTCGCCATATGTCTACTGTTAAACTGAGAGTTGATTGAAAACAAATGATACCCTGCAACTTGGAATTGGGATGTGTGTGGGGACCCTGATGAAGCTGGGGTCACTGAGTTTGTAAACTCTGATGAACTTTTTTTGCCAGAAGAAATAGCTTTCTCATACCCAGAAGTGGCAACATCCTCTCCCTGACCTATGCTGCTATCATCAGCCTTTTCACCTTTGTCTGAGGAGATACACCCTGCACTGCCTGAGGCAACAGTGATGGCCTCCCTTGAGGCAGTTGCCAGATAAGATAATGTTGATTCTTCCCAGGAGCCACCCCCAAGACCCCCATTTGCTTCTAGACCTATAACTAAAGTCCCCATAGGCCCCTAGAGGTGAGGCTGAGATTGTTACACATAAGGAGGTGTTCTACACTCAGAACCACTTGGATTTTCCAATTTATATAAAGAGAAATCTGGAGAACAGGCATGGGAATGGATACTAAGGGTGTGGGATAATGGTGGAAAGAACATGAAGTTGGATCAGGCTGAGTTTATTGATTTGGGCCCACTAAGTACAGACTCTACATTTAATGTTGCAGCTTTGGGAGTTGGAAAAAATAGTTTACTTGCTTGGTTAGCTGAAATATGGATTAAAAGATGGCCCACTGTGAACAAGCTGGAAATATCTGTTCTACCTTGGCTTAATTTAGAGGAAGGTATCCAAAGGCTTATAGAAATTGGGATGGTGGAATGGATTTATCACTTTAGACCTACTCACCCCTGCTGGGAGGGTCCAGAAGATATACCCTTGACCAATACCTTGCAAAATAGATTTGTGGGGATAGCATCTGCATCTTTGAAGAGCCCTGTAATTGCTCTTCGCTGCATGTCAGATCTAACTTTGGGAACCACAGTCACTCAACTACAAAATTTAAATGCAGTGGGAATAAGTGGATTCCCAGGTGGCAGGGGCCATGTGGTGGCACTCAACCATCAAAGGCAAGGTGGGCATAGCTACTGTAATGGGCAGTAGAGGAAAATGGCACTCAGAATATTCTGACTCATGTAAAGCTCTGACATTGGCTGATTAATCACAGCATTCCTAGAAGTAAAATTGATAGGAAGCCTATTGCATTCCTACTTAATTTATACAAGCAGAAAACTTCTAGGTCAAATGGACAAAAGACTAATTTGAATTATAAAAATAGAGAATCACAGCCCCTCAACCAATTTCTAGACTTGAGCCAGTTTACAGATCCAGAACCCCTTGATTGAAGTGGGGGCTGGGTTCCCTTGAGGAAGGATCCCACTATATTAGTGACAATTTATGCTGTGAATATTTCTCCCATCCTTCCCCAAGGAGACCTCCAGCCTTTTACCAGAGCAACTGCATTGGGGAAAGGGAAATAATCAAACATTTCAGGGACTTCTGGACACTGGCTCTGAGCTGACGTTGATTCCAAGGAACACAAAATGTGATTATGGTCCTCCAATTAAAGTAGGGGCTTATAGAGGTCAGGTAATTAATTAATGGAGTTTTAACTTAGGTCTGACTTACAGTAGGTCCTGTGGGTACCCGGACTCATCCTCTGGTCATTTCCCCAATGTCAGAATGCATAACTGGCATAGACATACTTAGCAGCTGGCAGAACCCTCACATTGGCTCCCTGACTGGTAGAGTGAGCACTATTATGGTGGGAAAGGCCAAATGGAAGTCATTAGAGCTGGCTCTACCTAAAAAAGTAGTAAATCAAAAACAATATTGCATCCCTGGAGGGATTGCAGTGATTAGTGCTACTATCAAGGACTTGAAATACACAAGGATGGTGATTCCCACCACATCCCCATTTAGCTCTCCCATTTGGGTCATACAGAAGACAGATGGATCTTGGAAAATGACCATGGATTATCATAAGCCTAACCAGGTGGTGACTCCAGTTGCAGCTGTTGTACCAGATGTGGGTTCATTGCTTGAGCGAAGTGACACATCTCCTGATACCTGGTATGCAGTCATTGACTTGGCAAATCTTTTTTTCTCCATTTGTTTCCATAAGGCTCATGAGAAGCAATTTGCCTTCAGCTGGCAGGGCCAGCAATATACCTTTACTGTCCTACCTCAAGGGTATATCAACTCTCTAGCTTTGTGTCATAATCTTATTCAGAGAGACCTTGATCGCTTTGTGCTTCTGCAGGCTATTATACTGGTCCATTACATTGATGACAGTATGCTGATTGGATCCAGTGAGCAAGAAGTAGCAAACACAATGGACTTATTGGCAAGAAATTGGTGTGCCAGAGGATGGGAAATAAATCTGACTAAAATTCAGGGACCTTCTACATTTTTAGGGGATCCAGTGGTGTTGTGGGGCCTGTTGAGATATTCCTTCTAAGGTGAAGGATAAGTTGCTGCATTTGGCCCCTCCTGCCACCAAGAAAGAGGCACAATGCCTGTTGGTCCTGTTGGGATTTCAGAGGCAACACATTTCTCATTTGGGTGTGTTACTTTAGCCCTCCTGTCAAGTGACCCAATAGGCTGCCAGTTTTGAATGGAGTCCAGAACAGGAGAAGGCTCTGCAGTATTTCCAGGCTGCTGTGCAAACTGCTGTGCCATTTGGGCCATATGACCCAGCAGATCCAATGGTACTTGACTAATATAATGGAATACTCTCAGCCATAAAAAGGGAAAAAAAATAATGGCACTGCAGCCACCTAGATGGAGTTGGAGACCATTATTCTCAGTGAAGTAGCTCAGGAATGACAAACCAAACGTTCCCATTTGTATGTGGGAGCTAAGCTATGGAGATGCAAAGGCATAAGATTGGACTATATACAAAGGCAATATAATGGACTTTGGGGCCTCAGGGGGAAGTAAGAGAGGAGGGTCCTGGGTGACAACTGCATCAAAATATCAGAAATCACGCTAAAGAGCTTACACATATCACAATAAACACCTGCTCCCCAAAAACTATTGAAATGAAAAAAAGCCTAGTAATAGTGGTTTCCCTTGGGAAGGGACAGTGGTTTTATTATTTAAGTTTTGCACCATGTACAAATATGTGTTCCAAAAGCAGTGTTACTTCTATTCATTTTAGGAGTTAATCTGAAACTCATGAAAGTCCTGACATTAAATCTATTTAGTCTGGTGATCTAATATTGCTGGCTCCTTGGTGAGGGTTGTGGTAGTTTCAATATCACATCTGTCTAGTAGTTCACAGTACTTACATGAAATAAGAAAATGAAATCATTTTAACCCCAGACCTGGACCTTGACCCTGTATTTGGTATTTTTGCTACCTTAAGATAATGTTAGCTATTCTTGAGGGAGTGCAACATGCTAGTTCAAGCGGCCAACACATATTCATAGCCTCCATTTCTTCTTCCTCACAAGCATGATTCCTATCTCCCAAAGTGCCAGAGTGGTGGTGAGGATTTAATTATCAAGGGCCATTCATTTCTAGAAGCACTCTGAACTTTAGCTAAGACATACAGCTCAGTTATTCAAGATCTTTAAAGACATTATTGAACTAGCAGGAGTGGGCTTGGTATGTCTTAATTTTGGGGAAAAAAGAGGAGGTAGAGATTTAGGCTTTTGCATTTATAACATACATTTTTTAGGAAAATGTGTTAGTTAAGCAAAATTTTGTTTTCAACATTTGTAAGATAAACATGATGTAGCGTCAACTGTTCATTGTCCATAGCTTGCTAAATTTTGAGTTGTAAGGCTCTTGTTAAAATTCTGTTTTCCATTGCAGAGAGGCACAGTGTAAGTTATTTTTTAAAGGAAATAGGTTAATTTGTTTATGTGATGAACACATGTGCAGGTAAGACTTTACCTAGATTGGAGACTTTTACTTTGAGTCACTTTACTTTATTTATATAGTATCCCTGTAACCTTAGCCAACTATGTGTAGAAGCTGCCAGTATTAATAATCGTTAGAAGACCAGCTTACCATTTGTGCATACAGTGTTTACAGCATATGTGGCATGCTTCTATGCTGATATATACCTTAGTTCATTTACTATTCCTCATAAGTTTGAGTTATGCATTACCACTATTCTCAGTTTATACTTGAGAAAACTAAGGCATACAGAGATTAGATTATTTTTTAACAGTGCTTCAGTAACTTAACAGCTAAGTTGAAAAGACTTTTTTAAATTAAAAGTGTACATTGAAGCATGAGCTAAGAAAAAGTGAAGTCAACTTGAAGATCAGATGTACAGTATTAAATAAAACACTGGAGAAAATGATCAAACTTTTTAATGATGTTTCTAAAAATCCATGCCTACCCTTGCCACTAAAGGAATTACAAGATGTTTGTCCCTGAACAGAAGAATATTGGCACAACTCTGTGGAAAGGCAGTAGGCAAAAGAGAAATCACTTTCTAACCAGAAAAAGCTCTTTTAAAAGTCTTCAAATTCTGTAGTTTTAAAAGTAATGAGAATTAACTTAGCAGAAGCCTGGAAATAGAACTCAACACACCTGTTTGAGAAGATAAGCGACGACAGACACCTTAGCTTAGCCTGCAAGGCTAAGGCTAAGGCTAAGACTCAAGTCTGTATTCTCAAGCCAGCTTAGTCTCTTAAAGTTGTTAAGAAGCAAATGAGATTAAAGCATATAGACAAATGCCTGGTGAGTAGAAAGAGCTCAGTGCTTGCTTGTGTAGCTATTAGTTTCTATGTGCAAATGGCTAGGGGAACAGAGGATTATGTAAATGAGAAAGGGTCCAGAAAACACCCTTCTGTGGTCTTCTAGGTTTTTTTCTGAGAGCCTGGCAGATACTAGGCATTTATTATACTGACAGATCATCTTTAAGAAATTAACTTGTTAAACATTGGAGGAAAATGCAGCCTTAAGTTGTACATGTACTTGTATGTTTTGAAGTTTCTGGTTTTTCTTTTATAGGTTCTTATAGAGACTGCTAAGAAGCTAGGACTCCGGTGCCACTCAAAGGGGACAATGGTCACAATTGAGGGACCTCGTTTTAGCTCCCGGGCAGAAAGCTTCATGCTCCGCACCTGGGGGGCAGATGTTATCAACATGACTACAGTTCCAGAGGTGGTTCTTGCTAAGGAGGCTGGAATTTGTTATGCAAGTATCGCCATGGCGACAGATTATGACTGCTGGAAGGAGCATGAGGAAGCAGTAAGTAGAATTCCCTTCTGAGCACATATGGTGTGGGTTTCTGGGTGCCAATAAGAGGGTGTCTTAACTGTTTATTTCTTTTACACTAGTTTCTGAAAGTGCCTTTCTACAAGGTTTGGAAGTTGTCAATATTTTCTATAGGTCCTATTGGAAGGTAAGAACAAAGATCATAGGAAAGAAAGAGATGCTTTTACCTAAGAATCAACAGTGAGTATTACATTGTAGGCATGTAGATGTGTTGGGAATCATCCTGAGACTTGGGCCTTATCTTAAGGATATAGGTATATTTTGATTGCCAATTTCTTCTGATATGCCACTGGTTTTTGTTTTCAAAAACCCTTTCCTGGTGAGAGGGTTGTATGATTACACCCATCTATTTAACCTACCACGGCTGGATCCTATGTTCAGCATAGAAATGTGACAGCAGGCCAGGCGCGGTGGCTCACGCCTGTAATCCCAGCACTTTGGGAGGCCAAGGCGGGTGGATCACGAGGTCAAGAGATCGAGACCATCCTGCTCAACATGGTGAAACCCTGTCTCTACTAAAAATACAAAAAATTAGCTGGGCATGGTGGCGCATGCCTGTAATCCCAGCTACTCAGGAGGCTGAGGCAGGAGAATTGCCTGAACCTAGGAGGCAGAAGTTACGGTGAGCCGAGATCACGCCATTGCATTCCAGCCTGGGTGAGAAGAGCGAAACTCCATCTAAAAAAAAAAAAAAAGAAAGAAAAAGAAATGTGACAGCAAACAGACAAGTCCTTAAGGAGCCAGTGTTCTGTTATGGGAGACAGAAGTCAAGTAAACCAATATAAGAAAGCTAATGGTTATAAAGAAATAGAATGGTGAGGTAAAAGGGTATCTATTGAGTTGGCCAGACCAAATATTTGTAGTATGAGAAGCCTTCCTGTTTTAAGTGTGATGGGCAAAAAGGGCATGATTGAGTAGAGTGGAAAGGAAAGAGATGGGAGAAGGGAGAGAGAGGAGGGATGCAATACGGCAGAGCCAGGCCATATAGACTGTGTTAAGGGTTTCAAATGGAAGGTCAGTTAGGGGTTCAGGCAGCGAAGGCAGTAGGATCCAGCTGGAATTTGAGGACACTGGAAAAATGAGGTCAGCTTCCAAAACAAATACTTTCCTTGTGGAAATGTTTAAACATCTACATAAGTACAGGGTGGAGTATAATGAATTCCAGGTACCCATCACCCAGGTTCCACAATTGGCCATGGCCAGTCTTATGTCATACGTATGTCCCTACCTATTTCTGTCTCCCTGGCCCTCATCTTGAAGTTAATCTTTTCCTAAAGGGTCTTTTTAAAAATTAAATTATAACCATACCATCATTGTACAAAAATAGTGATATTAATTTCTTAATATAATCAAATATTTAGACTATTGATTTTTCCTTCAGTCTCATAATTTTTAACCATTTGATCAAATCAGAATCCCTTACAATCCATACGTTGAATTTTAATGAAATGCCTTTTATCACAATCTGATTTTCACCTCCTTCTCTTTGTATTCCTTGTGTTACTTAAAGAACATTTGTCCTGTCATTTATCTCATTTTAAGATAAAGAAAAGGACAAAACTGCAGTCACTTTTGAAGTAAGGAAAAAAATTAGGGGTGACCTTTCTAACTGCATTTAGGGTAAGTGACATCTCCAAAGAGGCCTTTACCACCATTTTAGAAGTTGTTTTATGATCTAATTTTACATAAAACTGGGTTAGATCTTCCTGCCACCTGTCCATCCATGTGTACAGTGTTTTGGGTCGTAGATGAACACAGGTTCTTTGTTTTTTTGTGAGTTCCTTATGATGATTCCTCAGTGTAATAAACTGCTTAGTACTGGGATGCCTTTTCTGTAAGAGATTTGCCAATTCTTACATTAAGTCACAACATAATATCTTATTTGGCAGCTTTGGTAACCTAAGGAACAACTCAGCCTTATGATGTCAAGAAGCTGCTTCCAATTAGTAGGAAATTCCAGCCCCTGCCACACCCTGAGAGCAGTTTGCTTCCTGCCTGTGACTTTCTGCTCAGTCTAATAACATATGTCCCCTCCTTTGTAGAACCAGCAGTGATTTCCTTTAGTAGCCAAATGAGGTTGGAGAAACAGTCAGCTGGAGCTACTTTGTTGAAAAGCAGAGAAACTAAGCTCTATAAATGGTAAGGCTTGAAGATAGTGTTAAATACCACAAGGAAGGCACAGATAAAGATGGCATTATTTCAGCCAATCGTGTGTGTCATTGTGCTTTGTGCAGATGTGCAGCCTGGCATGGCAAGAAGGGTTTGAGTTCTATAAAGCCGTCTTCAGATTCCAGTTGCTCCATTTACTTGTCACACTGGGCGAGTTATTTCAGTTGTTTACTCTTCTGCAGAATGAAGCCAGGGTTCTGGGTGAGAAGTGGAAGTTGTTTAGTCATTATTATTCTGACCTTGAAGGATTACTGGAAGAATTAAACCAAATGATATATGTGAAACAACTAGTATAGTGCTGGCTCATAGGAGGGTGATTAACAGATGGTGGCTCTGATGGAGTGGGGGCCTGAGAGGTAGCATTTGAGCTGCACCTTGAACAGAGGGTTTATTATGGGAAGGTCAGTAGGAAGGACATTTTGGGTGGAGCCCAACAGCTGGAACAAAGAGAAGGGACGTCAGTGTCTATACAGAAATAATCACTCACAGGAAAAACATATAAAGAAATGAGTAAATACAAGGCAAATTTCTTGGTTGCTTCATGTCTCTGCATTCAAATACTCAGCTTAAAACATATCATTTACATGTACCTGGCAGACACCCAGCCTGTCACTGCTTTGTGTTCCCCTAGTAGTGTGAATGCCCCTCTGCTACAGTGTTCATCATTTTTTCCTAAACACATCTTGGTGTTTTTGGGCAGGATCTGGACTATACTTAAGGAAATAGAAAGGTGTAATCATTATGGCCCTGAATGTTGGATTTCTTCAAAGCATAGTAAGGCATGTCAAGTACTCTATCTCTGATGGTAATTTTATATTCACTTTCTTCAACTTTTTCTTAGGAAGCTATTTTAGTCATATACAAAAGTAGCCAATAATACAAATGTCCATGAATTCAACATCTAGCTTCAACCATTATATTAACTTAAAACCAATACAATTATTACTTCCATCAGTAATTTTATCCATAAACACTTCAGGAGGTATCTAACATGACCAAATTATCATTTTCATTCTTCAGTAATAATTCTTTAATATACCCAGCCAAAATTTAAATTTCTAGTTAAATGCCTTAAAGTATTTTGTTGGATGCAAACTTTTTGTGAAGGAGCCCAGTCATTTGTCCTGTTGAGTTTCCCATAGTCTAAATTGCGGAAATCATCTCCTTAGAGTAGTTTAATAGGTTTCTTTATCCTCTGTATTGTCTGTAAATGGTAGCTAGATTTAGAGATTCGATCAGATTTAGGTATCTTAAGGTAGCATTTTATTTTTCCATCAGGAAGCACATAATGAGTGGTTTATTTGAGATTTTGTTTGTTTAGTTCTGTTTGTGATGTTAGCAGCCAATCCATTAACTCACTGGGAGCCATAAAAATGGTGGTATTTTAACTCTATATTTTTCTTTATTAGCTGGAATAGTTTTCTAAGGAGAAACAATTCTGTTTGGTTATTCATTGTAGCAATAGTTTTAACACTGTAATCCATTTGACTGTGGACATGAAGAGAACAGCCACATCTTTCTAGACCATACTAACCCATTATTCATCTGAGATATTTTCTCAGATACCATATTGAAATCTGTATTAGTCTGTTATCACGTTGCTATGGAGAAATACCTGAAACTAGCTAATTTATAAAGAAAAGAGGTTTAATTGGCTTATGATTCTACAGGCTGTACAAGAAGTGTGATGCTGGCATCTGCTCAGCTTCAGGGGAGGCCTCAGGAAACTTCCAATCATGGTGGAAGGCAAAAGGAGAGTGAGGCATCTCACGTGGTGGGAGCAGGAGCAAGAGAATGTGAGGAGAGGTGCTATACACTTTTAAACAATCAGATCTCACAAGAACTCACTATCAGTAGAACAGCACCTGAGGATGCTGTTAAACTATTCATGAGAAATCTAACCTGGTGATCCAGCCACCTCCCACCAGGCCCCACCTCCAACAGTTCAACGTGAGATTTGGTGAGGACACAGATCCAAATCATATACAAATTCATCAGTGCTTTTCAGACATGTCACTGAGTTTCTCTAGGACCTCCCTGCTAGGACTAAGACCATCTTGATAAATGCAGAGCTTAAACTCAGAGGATTAAACGTAGAATAAACAGACTTCACAAGTCAGGTTTTTCTTAGTCTGTCTGGACTGTTGTAACAAAATACGATAGCATGGGTGGCTTCTGAATAACAGAAGCTTATTTTTCACATTTCTGGATGTTGGAAAGTCCAAGATAAAGGGACAGGCACATTTGGTGTCCAGTGAGAGCCTGCTTTCTCAGAGACAGCCATCTTCTCACTGGAACCTCACAAGGTGGAAGGGCCCCTCGAAGAATGGCACTGGGGCCTCTTTTGTAAGGTCACTAATCCTATTCATGAGGACTCTGCCTTCATAACCTAATTGCCTCCCAAGTGCTGAACTTCCAAATACCCTACATTGAGGATTAGGTTTCCACAGATGAATTTGAGGGGGACACAAACATTTAGACCATAGCCAGGCTGGAACTCAGGAAGATGTTTTATGACAAGCAGTGGAATTTTGTAAGTAACCTCCGGTGCTGTTATTTCTCTAGGTTTCGGTGGACCGGGTCTTAAAGACTCTGAAAGAAAATGCTAATAAAGCCAAAAGTTTACTGCTCACTACCATACCTCAGATAGGGTCCATGGAATGGTCAGAAACCCTCCATAGCCTGAAGGTAAGTGTCAGCCATGTGCAAGCAGGCCTGTCCATAGACCCTCCATTGCCTTCTTTTCTTATTCGCATTTCACCTTTGGTCCTCATGTATTTTATGCCAGCTTAGATGTTTTCAAAAAGTTTTTGTGACATTTGCCATCATACCAACCACTTGTGAAATTGAGTAGTCATATTTTCTGGCTGGAAATGCAAGACTATTGAAAGCTGGGGTTGAGAGAGTTATATTATCTAGTATACCAGGTTCTTCACATTCTCCTGCTCTGTAATGTATCCCAAAGTCTTCAGAAGATTGATAGTGCTTTTTCTGCATATTGCTTACATTGTTGACAAAGCTATTTTCTCTTTGGCAGATCCATTTAAATTTGTGGCAATTCTTTAAAGCCAAAACTCTTGACAGTAGTACCAAAATGGTGCCAGAAAATATCTGCTTAAGGTTAAACTTGCATCACACTAAAACAGTACTTAATGATAAGCATGGGATGGTTGCAGGTGGATAGCTTTCCAACTCTAGTGTTAATTCCCAGAATATAATTTAAACGGACTGTTTTTCAATCAGTTTAAATTATATTCTGGGAATTAATACTAGATGTTGGAAAGCTATTTTAGAAAGAATTAATACAAATCCCTCGGTGTTGCAGGATTTGTCTTTGGGCACTTTGTGACTCTTAACCACATAAGTAAAGACTTGCCTCATACTGATCAGATACTGCATTCTCCTACTATCCAAAGAGACTTCATACCTTGAAGTCTCGTAGAATACACCTGTAGTTTTGGGTCTTCTGGCAGTGGTGGAGAGAGGATTTGAAAGGTTGATGTAAGCCCTCCCTACCTGAATTACTGCCTAGGAGCTCTGGAATGAGAGCCACAGTTTTAGTGTAATGAGGACATTGTATGGTGGTAAGTGACTGATAATGACTGGACATGGCAGAGTCTTGATTTGTAGTGTTTGCTGATTTACGTGGTACAAGTGCTCCAGTATGGCCTATTTCACACTACTAATGTGAAACCACTGATGTTTTGAGAATTGATATACACAGTGAGCTCTTGTAAGCTGATGTGAATAGGATCAAGCACACCACTGTAAATAAGGTGTCTCTCAGCAATTAGGACTAATAGGAATGCTGGACTTTGTATCTTCTCTGCTAAGAAACAAATCTATTGGTTTCAACACTGAAACCTAGGAGCTAAATGTTGTTATTTAATGAATAAATGATATCATTTATTCATTTTTCCCATGAAGTGTTTATCATAATAGGATATAGGAAACCCTTATTATTAGAATAAAAAGGGAAAAAATAAAGTCTGAGTGCAGTCAGATGGCACAGTTGGAGCTTGCATAAAAAGTGCATGTTGGTTTGCTAGAAATGTGACTTATATTTGTACTGTTACTAGCAAAATGTTACAGACATTTATTTTTTTAAGTCTCCCAACTGACCCCACTTTGACCATAGTCTTTCAAGCTTGAAGTTAATTTCTCAAGTAATAAATTTACTGTTTAAGCGTCATTTTTAAATAAAAATGCTTGAAGGTTAGAAATCAGTTTTCTCTTTTCTTGGAGCTTCTGAAATTGTGTGTAAAATTGTATGGTTTTATTTATATGCATTTTTAAAGAGGGTTAGTTTATGTAGTTTTCATCAGATTCTCAAAGGGGGATATGATACATGTATATGACATAAAGAGAGAAAATGAAGAATTCCTGCTCTAGTCAAAACTGAGAATGTTGGCCTTCATTCTGTAGCATTAAGGAACACCATACTAATAATCCCTTATTTTGGGGTAGTATTTTTAGTCCTCTAAGCACTGAAATGTTTATCGTTCATCACTCACTAACTCATTTCAGAAACACTAAGCACCCACTATATGTCAAGGTCTAGTTTGCAAAGTTACTTAAAGACTTGTGATGGTGCTCCTATGATGTTTGGAGGTACAAACACATAAAAATTTCCCTTCTTGCAGTGGGATAAGGGATGGAGGTTGCATAAACAATAATCAGGCTGGGGGCTGATATGGGAATAAGTGATTATCAGAACAATGCTCTGAAATAAGCATTATTGACCACACTTTACAGAAAAGGGAGGTGAGGAACCGAGAGTTGAGAGTACGTAACATCTCCCATCTGGTTAGTGAACTTGAAAATTATCTGGAGAGTTTAAATTTAAAGTGTGTTTTTCCTGAGTCCTCACTTTGATCTATAAAATGAAAATCCATTTTTTAAACAAACATCTCCGTAATTACACCCACATGTGAATATCACTGCCTCCTTTCTTCCTTTCAGAATATGGCCCAGTTTTCTGTTTTATTACCAAGACATTAAAGTAGCATGACTGCCCAGGAGAAAAGAAGACATTCTAACTTCAGTCCTTTTGGGAATTCCTGCTTAACTTGAAAAAAATATGGGAAAGACAAGACATTATGTGTATTAGAGACTCCTAAATGACTTGGACAACTTCAAAATACAGAAGAAAAGCAAATGACCAGTAAACATGGGAAAAAAATTTTACATTTTAGGAAAAACAAAACAAAAAACACACCATTTTCTTCTCCCCGCTCTTAAATTCGCAACAATGAAGGGTAGAGGGTAATCTCTATTTTCCTATCCTGCCAAAGAATATGAGGAAGAAATGGGACTTTTTGGTTATTTAGTGATGCGACTGTAAATTGGTACATTATTTCTAGAAAGCAATTTGGTAAAATGCATCAAAAGGCTTAAAAATACTGGCATACTTTGTGCTGGGAACTCTACATCTAGGAATTTCTCTTTAAAACCGTATCAGAGATACAAACAATTATGTATAAAGAAGCGTGTTTAATAACGATAGTGATAAAAGCAAATAATTAAAACAATCTGAATACCAAGCAACTGGAGATAAATTATGTCTTAGTTATAATTAGATTGTGAATCAGCCAACTGAAAATCCTTTTTGAATATTTTACTATCCTAAAAAGATATGGTTGCTCTATATATGAAATGAAAAAATGGATATGGTAGCATTTTATAGTACTAGTTTTGCTTTAAAATGCTGTATATATATATATATATATATACAAAAAAAACCCTCAAAAGAAATATATATAAAACCTTGTTATTGTATTTGGGGGAGGGATACTGGGATAGTTTTTATTTTCTTTGACTCTTTCTGTGTCTTCACATTTTTCTACAATGAATATAGTCAAATAGTAAAGTTGTTGTAAAAATAAAAATGGATTTAGAAAAATCCAGTTCTTGAAAACACTGTTTTTGGTAATGAAGCAGAATTTAAGATGGTAATATTAAGATGAATGTCATTTAAGGAAGTTACATCTTTATTCTGCTCAAGAATTATTGATTTCTATAGTCAGAACAGTACTTGGGTTTGCAACAGCTTTCTGAGAAAAACTAAGTGCTTAATAGTAAAGTAGTTAAACTATTTAAAAGACTTAATGCACATATTACGGTTCTGATTTTTTTAAAGTCATGTTTGATTCTATTTTTCATGAGTTAAAGTATTTTACATGAGTTGATTTTTGCTTTTTAATAAAGTGGAAGCTTGCTTTTTAAACTCCTTTTTTATTGTTACTTTTATATAAATGCTTTTAGTTTTCTTCAGTTTATCATGGGGAGATCTTTTTCCTCAGAATTATTTTCTTTTCACTGTGGACTATTACAGCATACTTTAAGATCAGGATATGGAACCTTTTATTTAAAGAGTTTGTAAAGTCAATGTGTTTGTGTTTGTGAGACTGACTTCAAGATAATAAGCTGCTAATTGTAAACAAAACAGTTACCCTCCAGTACTAATCTGAGTCATTAGTGTGAGCCATTTGGGTCAAGTATGATAATCACCCTTGGATTCCCTGATATAGTATTAAATTTCAATTCTGATTGTCCGTTAGTGATCCCTAGAGACCTTAATGAACCTGAACCCAGACTTCGCTAGTGCTGTGACCTGTGATTGTTTTCACTACAGTATGATATATACGTAGATGGTACCTTACTTTCCCTCATTCTTAGTGGGTGTCTAAGAATGTCACGGCAAAAATATGGGCATTTTTCTTGTGTTCAGAAAGTATAGTCTGCTCCAACTTGCAGAAGTACTTTTCTTGATTATAGCCTTCCCTAGCAACATCATTTTCAGACTAATCATTTGAATGCAGTATACTCTTTTCTTTGTTCCCAATCATTCATTCCTTATACAAGGCCAATATAATTTTCCTCATACCTATGCTTAAGGATATTGTTGAAGAACACTTCCTAGAACACTTCTCACTTGTGATGCTGTGCTACTTTTTTTTTAAGCTAGTAAATTGAGTGAACACCATGGTTAGTTGTGAGCATTTTTGTTTCCCCAAAGGATGGATGGTGAGCATGATGGGAAAGCTGTAGTTTAATGACTTAGCCACTTATTGATTAATAGATTTGCATGTACATAGAAGTCTTTGTTGGCATTATAATTTGCTGGTGTGTTTGCCATTGAATTTCATGGTTTTGAGAATGACAGCCTGGCCCTGTGGTCCCTAAAGGTCACAATTCTTGTGACCTGGCCCCTGTTCACTGTCCCCTTTGCTGGCACAAGTCACTATGCAGGGCCAGAAGTAGCTACCATGGCTTGTATCAAGGAAGAAAGCTCCAGGACAGCGGCACCCTCATGAGCAGAGGATAGTGAACTTCCCTGAAGAGGGAGTGACTGAGGTGACCTCCGAACTGCCCCCAGCCAGCCACCCTGCAGGTGCCATGTGAGCCTGCTCTGGCATCTTCAGGATGCTCCTGGAGCCTCTCCTCTGGCTGTTCCCTCAGAGGTGTGGTGGCCACACCAACACCTATTTTCCAAATAAATCATTGTTCATTCTTGTGACAGTAGCCCAAACATGTTTTTAATTTTTTCAACAAGCATTTAGCCAGCACTTATCCATTGAAACAACCTGATAAGGTTTTGAGGAGCATCTGCTAGATTAGGAAGTCATAAACTGAGGAGTTTGTGCCTCATTTGCAGAGTCCCTCCTTGATACGGTTTGGCTGAGCCC